TACCCTTCTGCTGTATGTATGTATATTAGCCACATAGTATTGATAAAACAGGTTTCTGTGCTCCCCAGGAAAATAAAATTGGAGAATATGAATAGGGGAAAAGGCTTTCCATCTGTCCTAGCACATCTCTCTATTCTGGTGTTTAAACTTGTTTTATTTTTTTCCTGATTGGCATTTTTCAAAGAGCAGCTGCTAGCTTGTGAAGGTCTATCCTAGCCGATCCTCCATCAATTTAGCTGTTACTTTATTCACTCCAATGGCAAGCTAATCAACCTTTTCTTTTCAAGTGTGTCAAAGTGCTGATCATGAGACAGTTTGTAATTAAGGAAAATGGGAGTACACTTTTTATCCTTAGGGCAACTAGATTAAATGATTCTGCATACAAGCTATTACAGTAAGTAATCTCTTATAGTTGTTTTTCCTGAATGGTGAGTTTTCCACTGAGCTTCAATGCGTGGGGAGAACATATATAGCAAATAGTGATGATTTATAACGTAAAACCTCAAAGCACTTTATAAAATGTGCTTCCACCATTCCTAGCTCAGGTCATTAGGAATTTTTATACCAAACCAAACTGATTCTGATGTTTTCCCACTGCAGGTTGCAAGAGGAGGAAATAATTTGTGTGTTGTTACCCTGTAACATAGTACTTCTGTGCATTCAGAAAAAAAAAAGGAGTTTAAATGATGTACTTAATTAAACTTTAAAGAATTAATATAAATTATGTTTTTATGTAAAATTTACATTAAAACATATGTACAATTTACATTTTAGTGCTGTTCTTTTTAGTCTGGCGTGATCTATGGTCTTTGATAAACACTGACTTCTAGTAACCCACCAGTGTGTTTATAAACACAGTTGAGCAGCAATGAAGTGGTACCAGGGCTGTGCTTCATGAGGAATTGGAATGGTCAAGAAAAGAGGTTTTCTTCATTTTCTTTGAAAGTAGTAAATGAGTTGGCAGTTTCGAGCTAAGATTAAGCAATAGATGTTTTAAACTGGAGACTAAGACCCTCAGAATCAAAGCAACAGTCAGTGAAGATGGGATGAAGAGAATTGATTCTATTAGTGCATGAGTAAAGCATTTGGAGGGAATTTAAGATAGCGCTGATTACTGTTGATTGAGAATGCTAAGGGAAATGAGAGGAAGAATGAAAATGATAGCAGAAAGAAGTGCCGATAGCTGGCAAATACTGATCCCTGTGATTTTGGCTTAAAGGAAAAAGGTGGTAGAAGAGCTGCTGTTGTGAGCTGATTTTATGACAATAAGGGCAAGGTTTTGCCCCCATGTAATTGTGGATGCAATCTTGAGCGTTCAAATGAAGTGCTAGCAGTTGATGCTTGTTTTGGGGGTGAGTGGGTGGGAGCCTTGCTTCTGTCTCTTCCTGACCCTGGTGTTTTGTTAAAGAATAGAGATGCTGTTGTGCTGCTGAAAATTGCTGGAGCCCTTTGAAAATCCCCCTTGGAGGCCTGTTTGCTGTTTCCCTTTGTTAGAATTTTTGGGTTAGGACTTTGTGACTGATCTAGCCATCTGGAGCTACGTGGCTGAAAAAGCTGTGCTATGAAAAAGCAGAGCCTTCTTACTGAGCTAGGTGTGGGTGGCGTTTTGATTTCAAATTGCTTCTATACTTAAGCCTTAGCTAAAAGAGAACTCCAGTAAATATTTCTGTGTTTGTTGTGGTAGGAGAATGTCGTCATCTTTCATGAAAACCTAAAAATCAAAGGAGAGCTTATTATAAGGTATGGTAAATGACACTGCTGACACTCGCTAGCTAATTCAAACCACATGGTTTATAACTGCTTTTTAAAACTACAAGCTATTCTAAAATTTTACTTAGGCCCTGTAATTGTGAGGTGGCTCAAAGAGTGGTGTGTTGTTTAAACCTATAGTTGCAAATGGTGACTTCACAGACCTTAATGTTGCTAAAAGGAATAGAAGGATTCTTTGTGGTCTATGGATCATTAAAATGTGTTAAACTAGAATGACCTTAAACGGAATTTTTATGTGTGTGTAACACATAGGAAATAGCATGAAGGTATAATTTTTGGAACAAATAGAGTTTGAACCACAAGACTCAAAGTTTGTTTTGTTTTGTTTTATTGCTGCAATAGGAGGCGATAATAGATAGGAAGGGCTGTGAGGTATAATGGTGTGCCGTGAAAGTCGCCATTACAAATGAATAGATGTGTCTTTTTCTTTGAGATAAAGATCTTTGTCCAGGCTTTGACATAAATGTGTCTAATGCTGTTTATGCAGTGTCAGAAAGACAAAGAAATCTTAGTTATTTAACTATAGCCTTGGTTATGCCTCCTTCAGTTGAATTGTTGGACCAGTGGTTGAAATGGCAGAGGTAAATTTTAGAACACTTCTACTGGTAACTTCTGATAAGTGCGTATGCAAAACTTATTTTGAAATGAGTTGACTTATTTTTTTCTTTTGTCTATAGTATTTTGTCTTCAAATTTTATCGTATTTGATATACTTGTGAAGTATTAGATTTTGCCAGATTGTGTAGATTGGAGGAAAAGATAGTGTATGTTGTCTCTAACTAGATTGGCTAAAACCTAGACTGGATGAAATCCCACTCTCCAACTTGCTGCAGTATTGTTAGGCTGTAAGCTTCTCTGCTGAGGGAGGAGAAAAAGCATGATTTGGTGTTTTTAACTATGCAGCACAGGCAGAGTTAATACATACATTAAGCAGTAAAATATATTTTGGCAGGGGCTGTTGGGAAACTACAGTTCAGTGTATTAGGAAAGATTGCTAAGCTGATTAACTCATAACTCAGTATATCAACAGGGAGAATACTTTCTCAGTGCTTGATACTGACTTCATTTTCTGCCGTGAAACTATTGCCGAGTTGTTTCAACAGTGAAATACTAGGTAGTTGATAGCTGTTGATTGAAGGACAGCAGGCACAGAATGAGCCATCCAGTCTGTAGGTTTGAAAATCATCTCAGAGTCTTACCTTCCTGCAAAGCTGGTTTCCTGAAACAAACCCATAGAAACCACGACATTAGTATTAATGTTTTATCACACGGCCCATGAATGCTCAGTGCAGTTTTATTTCTTTCATCTTCATCCTACTGCCTTTTTTTTTTTTCCCTCCTTGCAAAATGGAATGTGATGTGTACTGAAATAAGCTTTTCTGAGTGCCGCACGTTGTACTTTTCAGTTTACAAGTATATCTGTGGCTGCGTTCAACAAATATTATTCATTTCCTAAATATATCCTGTAAGAGAGTCTGGTAAAGTGTTATTGCTACTGTAGTTTGGATTCCGGTCAGTAAAGTAGATGCCAGAAATTGTGTCATGGTCTCTCAGCAGCAGCAGAATAATTTTTAATTTTTGTTTTGTTAGTTCTCCAGCATGTTGGCCACATCACAAATTGACTTTATTGTAGTGCTAGAAGCATTACAGACTGCTACTTTTGCGTAAACACATTTTCACCTCCAGTTGAACTACTGAGTTCGAATGCTTCAGTCACTGTAGCAGTATTAAGTTTTGAGAGATCAGTCTAAATTTCGGTTCAATGGTATGTGAAAAGGAGTTAATGACCTTTGATTGTGATTCTAAAGTGGATGGTCCAACCACCTGTGCAGAGAGAAGAACTGTAATTTAGTGCCTTAGATAATGCAAGTTGGCAAGAAAAGCTGTGGGAAACGGAGCCCTGGGCTCATCCTGCACCTGGACAGGCAGATGTGCTGCAGGAGAGAAGAGATTGAGAGAGGCACAAAGATGTGATTATTTAGTAGTAAAGGAGCAGTAAGGTATTTCATTTACCTGTTTTCCAACCTTTTCAGAATACCATTCACTTGGTATGCTGGTCTCTTGCGGGATGGCTGAGCTGATAATGTGATGCAACCATAAGAACAAACAAGCAAACAAAAGCAAAACCCAAATAAGTAAATATGAGATGAGTCTAATACTGATGAGAGATGAGGAAGTATAAATGGTATGATACATGTATGTGATAATTAAATTTGAGACAATAGGACATGCTCTCCATAAACTTTTTGGGGGAGAAAAGCCAGAATGAAGAACTGCCTGAGCTAAGACACAGTGGTAGCCAAAAAAAAAGAAATAAATATGAACTAATTTGAGTATGTGTAGGTTTAATATTTGAAGCTTTCAAGTTGTGTCAATAGGAGTTCTAGAAAAGGCTCTATGTGGCTCTCTCTACTTGCATTGTTTTGTCCATGCTACCCCTAACTACTTTCATGACAAAGAACTTGCTTATCTATAAAGGGGCTGTGGCTGCCTGTGAAAGCACTATATGACTATGTTATTCAAAACAAATACTTGATCTGTTTGAAGTTATCAGCTGAATGCAAATATCCTGAACTGTTGCAGAATAAAGCAAGCTGTTGATTCTTACTATATTCTTTAATTTCACTGCATGACATCACCCTTACTGAGTTAAGAAAACACACTTATTGGGAAGCACTTCTGTGTGTTTATGCGAAAGTCCATTAATATCCAAATGTTTAAAATGCTTCTTATTTTATAAGGTTTTGAGATTTCTTCGTACTTTTTTGAGTAGAAATCACAGCTTATGGTATCCTTAGTGCTAAGGATTTTCCTGTTTCTTTTTCTTAAATGTCTTCAGACAGAATACGTCCTGTTGATGTGATGGCATTTTGTTCAATGAAAAATATGACATTCGTTATTGAATGAAGAAGAAAGCTATGTACATTTCCCTGAAATTCTGTGAATTTTTTTTGAGCTTGCTTCTTAAGAAACGATTAGAGGTTATGTTTGCTTGTTCCTGGAGAAAGTCTAAATAAGCCACTGAGAAAAAGTATCCATTTTGCTTCTGTGGGTCTTTACATTCTGAAAAGTAAATGCTTCACCGCTTACAGAACATCAGCACGTGGGGGTGGGGTGTGTTTGTTTGAGTTTGTTTGTTTGTTTGTTTTCCCTGCCTGGATGTGAGAGACAGATTGTAGTTATTGTTGGTATTTTTTTAAATCTAATTCCCAATTGACTCTTTCTTTGCAGCTTTGCTCTCTCAGACGAAGCATATAGATCTTTAAGGGACCAGGACAAAGACCAGTGTATCCTTATTACAGGAGAGAGTGGAGCTGGAAAAACAGGTAATAAGCAGTTTTTATCTTATTTGAAAGCATTCAGAGTTATTCAGAGTCTTGCAGAGTGATGCTAGAGTCTGTAAGAGTTGAGGGATACAGGTGTCTTTTTGTCTGGTGATTGCAGAAAACGAATGCTGTCACACTTGCTGTGGGTGTGAGCTTGCATAAACTAGTGTTTTTTCACTTTGTTACTCTGATGCAGTTGTATCACATGTTAATACAGTATCCTCATGAGTAGGCAGAGTCATACTAGAGTCTTGCTGGTTTGTGACACAGTATTGCAAGGGAAAGGAAACTTTTAGGCTTTCCTTGTGGGAAACATGAAGATGTAGAAAACTGGATGCTCTTGGTCTTCTAGACTGGAAGACAGTCCTTTGATACTTTGAATGTCTTTTAATAAATGTATACATTTAAACTGCATCATGCCATTTATCCAAGGACAATAAATAATAGTAGCTGATTACTCTGGAAATTTCATCAGTCTTTTGCATACTGTGCTCAGCAGCAATTCCAAGATTGGCTTGTGTACCAGAACACTGTGTTTCTCAGGCAAAGCTGAAATAGCCTTGAAAATGACTGCTAGTTTTTAAACTGCAATGGTAGAAATCAAGCAAGGATTGCATAACTGCAGAACATTTTAGACAGACCTTAAAAAAGAAAGAAACCAGTTATTTTCTAAAATAGCAATTTTAAACTGAGGTGACTTGCAAAAAAGTCAGCAGGTAGCAACGTGTACATCTGTTTCCATGTTATTTAAGAGTTTTTTTCTTTTAATATGAGAAAATTTGGAGCTTCGTATGCTTATAGTGAGCAAGACTTAAAGTGGGTGACAAGAAGTTGCTTTCCAAGCCTTTTGTGAAAATGTGAAGTGTAAGCTTCATCTTCTTGTTTTTTTGTTTTTTTTTTTTTTTTTTGTGTGTGACTAGTGGCACCCAGTTGAGAGGTCTTGAAATCTTGTAATATAATCCTTTTTTTTCAGTTTAGTAACATGGAAGATGCATCTGTGTCCAGTAAAAGTGTGTATTAAAATAATAAAGTTCTTATTAATGTGATTGTTAGAGATTCTGGCTAGGAGTTCAGACTTTAGAAAGGAGTTCTGTACTGATACTGCTTAATGTCTTGATTTCCTCAGGAACTGTGAATTATCAGGCAACTCGTACAACTGAGGTCCACCTTTTACTCATTTAGTTTAGTTGAAAGGTGCAGCAATGGTTGATTTTCTGAATGTCTCTATTTGTAAAGAATATTCTGGTAGATTCAGATTTGTGTAGAGATTTTGACTGTTCTGTAATTTTGATAGCCATATGGGATATAATATTGAATTATTCCTTGTTTATAAAGGAATAATTAATTTATAAAAGTACAGAATAATACAGGGTTTGAAATTCAAGTCAGTAATCGACTTGGAATCTTTGCTATTCTCGCTCTAACATTTGATGTAAGTACTGTTGCTGAAATGGGGCTATTAGCTGAGAAGTTGGGTTTCTGTTGGGGAAAAAAAAAAAAGGGGGGGGGGGGGTCAGGAAGGAAGTTCCTGGAGTTGAAGAAACAAACTTGTTGGTACAGAACCTATGTAACTGTTTTAGATTTTTGGTAGCTGGAACATTTGGCATGTTTGGGCTGGAAGAATTGAAACTGAACTCTCATTGGTTGAGGTTTTTTATTTACTTCAAATTTTGTTCTTGTTTCACAGCATGTTTATATTGCTAATCTATAGTAACATTGTGCAAGAAAACATGGTACATTACCAGAATGAGGGCTGTATTTAAATATTTTTAGATGTTAAGGTAATCATTCCCTTCCTGGTGTCTTTATTGGACCAAAGAGAGTTCCTAATAAAAGAAAAGGCCTTTATTTTCTTTCAGTGGTGTTCAAAGCCTATCTTGAAGTCATTGTGTGTTGTTTTAATGCATACCGTTTTATAATACCTTATTTTCTGCTTCAATGCTTTCTTCTCTTAGTGACTGAGTAGCTCTACTTAAAGTTGTTGACTGTTTTAGGAAATATTTAACATAAAATAATTTGGTAATTCCAAGCTCTGAAGGGAACATATTCTTAAAAATGAGAATTGGGTTTAAGGTGTGATTAAAGGAGATGGGGTGTGGTGTGGTGTGTGTGTCTTATGGACGCACCTATAGTTCTTGCTACATGCTTGCTTCCTGCGTTACAGGTTTGCTCAGTTTCCTCTATAATATGGGATAGTAATTTAATACTAGCAAACAAGTTTGATTAAATAGAAAAGAATCAAAATCCAAGGGATAACTTCTTGTTTGTCAGTTCTTTCCTGAAATGAAACCCTTAAATTTGTAGCAGTTCTCTGAAGAACAGGTAATGTTTTTTTTGACCAATGTGTTGAGTTCATAGGGATTCCAGCTGTTAGTAATTACATTGTATATTAGCTGATATTACCTCAAATTTGTATATCTTGCATTGTACTAAACATCACAGACTCTGTTTATAAACAGAATCCTTTCTCAGCTGCTCTTTGTCCTGACCAACAAAAATACAAGGGTTGGATGGATTCTTTAGTATTTGTTTATGTCTATATATGGGTGATTGACAACCGTATGAGCCCAAAAATTGTTCCAGACTTCGTTAAAAGTTTGTACCTTTAGTTAGTTTCATTATTTATATGAATGCTTCACTTTCTCTATTCGTTATACTTTGAAACAGACTGCGTAATGTTCTGTGATGTTGAACCGTGGCTATTCATGTACTTGTAGCGTACTTTAGAGTTGTAATTACATGTGTATAGTGTTGTATGTTTACACTTGTGGTATTGTGTATCTGCTGATATAAACTGATTGAATTTTGCACCTTGAAACTGCTTGGGCCTATTTTTTCAGTGTAGATTAAAACATTTCCAACGTGTCAGCTAGGGATAATGTTCTTTCCTTACTGAATGCTGAATGAAGGCTAAATGAAAAAGTAGCGGGTAATGTACTATATCCACTGGTGGCTGTTTAGCTTGGGAGAGCTCTAGCTATTTAGTTCAATAGGGCTGCTGAGGTAATGGCGTGAGTCTCATAGCAGGATGAGCTCCTTCCTCATTTCCAGATGGTGCAACAACGTAGAAGAAAACTGAAGTGAAATGTGCTTACGGTTCCTGTCTGGCATGGTGAAAATGTCAAGTTTGCAAATCATTTTATGGCCTGTTTACTAATACTTACCACTTTATTTTGCTCTCCACCTACAGAGGCGAGCAAACTTGTCATGTCATATGTAGCTGCTGTGTGTGGAAAAGGGGCAGAGGTTAATCAAGTAAAAGAACAACTTTTGCAGTCAAATCCAGTTCTTGAAGGTAAGAATCTCATGTAGAAGTCTGTTACCCCTGTGTGTATCAGCTTTCCTGCTAAAAATGGTTTGGAAAACTGTCTGTTGTTTCATTGTTATTTGGTGTCCAAAACCACAGGAGATGCTTTCTGTGGAGACAGCTACAAGATTTTAGTCAGTTACGGAGAAGTCTTCTTGAGAGGAAAACTGAAAACTCCCTCATGAAGCGAGAGCTTAGGAGGTTAGGTCATATTTCCCAGACTCCTCCTGCTGTTCTCTGGGGGTGTACCCTTTCTTAACCCTGCTTTGGTGATGCTTGGCTGTGTCAAAAGAATTGACTTCAGTTCAGTCCCTCTCATTCGTTTCCTTCCAAATTATATTATAGTCTCTAGGAAACAAACAATCTCTGTAAAGCATTATTTCTCTCTTAGGAAAAAAAAAAGGGTGAAGAAATGGATCTTAGAAAAAACTAAGCCAATCCATATGCATGCCTGTTGTTCCCTGAGACTTATTGTTCCCTGGGTCTGGTGACTCTATTGGCCTGTCTTCCTGACAACTACCTTTCCTGCTCTCCCATGAAAGACTTTTCACCTTTTAATTAGTCATTTTAATTTAAAGATGCTGGCTGCCAGAAACAGGATCTTCATTTTTCCTGGAAATAGGATATATGATCCTCAAAGCTTGCAGTTTTGTCCCATTGTCTAATAATTGCCTTCAGAAGTGCCTTAGTTGGTGTTGACTTATTTAGGTCTATTGTCTCAGTCTTTCCCACAGTTATCTAAGCTATTGTGTTGCTGAGTTAAATTCTCATGACTGCTGTACAATAATTTTGCATTATGGCCAGCTGATATGCAGTGTCTGTAAGACTGTTGAGTGTCAACATTTTGTTTATTGCCTAGCTGTCTATAGGTATATGCAATGATTTGGAGTCTATAGCGAGCAAGCACTCCACAAGTGAGAAGAGGGGGGGAAATTAAAAAAAAGGGAAGGGCATGCATAAGTAGGCTGAGAGTAGCGGTGAACTGGATGGGTAAAATGTGGTCAATGACTGTACACAAAAAATGTAAGCAAAGACTTGTACAGAAAGGATAAATGTTAAAATTTAAGGTTAATAAAAGTGCTGGATAAGCCTTTCTTTGATGATCACTGTTCTGGAGGGCAGATTTCAGATTTAGACTGAAATAGTATGGGAAGTAAGAAGGTTTTTCTTGCGAAAGGTAGATTTTTTCACAGGAACTGCCAAATGTATTGGATTTCTTGTTGGTTTGTGAATCTTTGTTTTAATGCAAGGGGAACACAGTAAGCTTACAGAAGAGTCCCTTATCATTTTAAGCTATTATTTTTTCTACTTGGTGCACTGGTACCTACCTATTTAGCTTTTTTGAAGGTAGGATGCTGGGTTATTCCACGAGGCTGCTGAGTAAGCCTGGCTGCTTATATACATTTTAGACAGAAATTAAGCATTTGTGGTTAGATTTATTTTTCTTTGCTTATGTATTTCTGTTTCAGTTGAGCTGCAGTGCAAGGAAATGACAGAAATGTTACATATGTGTAATTTATCTTACAGGATTTTTTTTTTAGCTACGGTTGCTACTGTAAATTAACTTTTAGAAACAATGAACTTAAGCGAAAACTGAGTAATGTGTCTCATGCTTTATAATGGAACGTTTGTGCTTGATTCTGTGTAGTTATAAATGACTCTACTGTTCAGCACTGTGTTTAAGAAAATGCAGCTCAGAGATTTGGTTGTTGAAAAGATGATTTATTGCAGGGCATAAAGATTTTAAAAACAATTCCTTCACTTATCCGTCGCCTTCAGGAGCAACAAACTTTTCCTTTTGGCCTCAGTTCTTTGGTCAAGAATAAGTTTACTCATGCAAGTTTGCTGAAGCCTAAAAGCATGTATTTATTTCTGTCCAAAAAACATTGACTTGACTTGATCTTTGAAAACATATATGCTATATAAATAAATACTGGTATAAATAAAGTCTCCTGTTGGAGCAGGAGTGCTGTACTTAATAACATAGGGGACACTTCTGTTTGACTCAGCGTGCTTTGACAATGTGTGATGTTTAGAGCTTGAATTGTCCTCCCATCTGGGTTCTTGTCCTGCCTGTGTTCTAAGCTGATGGCTGCCTGTCTGAATGTAGCCCTCGGAAGTCCTTTCTCGGAGAGTTCTCATCATCAGAAAACTTGAGCTAAAGAAAATAAACCCAAACTATTCAAAAAGCTAGTTTAGATCAAGCTGAAGAGTGTGCTGAAGTTTTCTTGTGAATCAGACTTATTTCAGCTAATTAGTATTCAGCTTAAGCTAGGGTAAATGTGTTGGAATAGCATAAATAGTTTGAAAGCATTGATTAAACCATGTGATTTTTAAGTGTCATTCTGTGATTTCCTCAGTTCTGGCCTCTGTCTTTTACCATCTTCAGTTCTGGGAACTAAGATTCATTTCTTTCTCTGAATTGAAAAGAAAGAAGTCTTTGCTATATCTAAAGTTATTTGGGTAATAAAATTTTAAGTTTGATGATTCAAACCCCAAGGATATATGGCTCAATCCAGGTGCAGTTTACTCTTGGAGCCATTTCCCTTTGTATGCTCATATTTCACTTTTTTAAACAAAGGAAGTGTTGAGACAAAATTTCTTTGGACTTCCAGAGGTGACTTCTCATTTGTGATCACATCTGTTATGCTCCATCTATCCCCAGTGACTCATACAATGAACAGGGTATTTTCTCGGAAGTCTGTTATTTCTTGAAATATATAAACAGTCATAGATATTTTAGCTTTTTTTTTTTTTTTCCTAATATATTTGGTTGTCATATTTGTTTTTCTCTTTCTCCAGCTTTTGGAAATGCTAAAACAGTGAGGAATGACAACTCCTCTAGATTTGTAAGTATTTTCTTCAAGGCTGTATTTGAATTCCTTTCAGTGGAGCATGTTATGTGGTTGGGTATTTCTGTTTTATCTTGTATCAACCATCAAGGCATCTGTAAGGAAGGAATGAATAATTTGGAGAGAGAAATTTCTTGTAGTTGTCTGAGGATCGTGGTGTTTGGAGAAGGCAAACAACTTCAGCAGCAATCAGTATTTCATTTTGTACATTTGAGCATATTCTCCTTCCCCAATCTGTTCGTAGTGCATTATTAGCAGTCACCCCTCTTTTTAAAAGGTGCTTTGCCTCCTTGTCAGAAATCTTGTTGGTTTCTGATGTTCTATTGAGAATCAAAGTAAACGCTAAAAAAAAAAAAAAAAAGAAAAAAAAATGAGGATGTGACAAGTCTGTGACTGGATGAAAACATAATTACAGCATAGCTGGATTCTTTAATTTTCTGGCACTGGTGGCTTTAATGTCCGTGACCATATGCCTAGCAACTGGTCTGCTTAGCCGGTCGATCTTTCTGCATGATCTTGTTTTCCATCCATATATATACATTTTTTGTTACAATTGCAATGTCAGGTTCTCATTTTCTTTCTATAATGTTTCAAACTGTGTTTAAAACTTCAGTTTTAATATAAACATTTGTAATGTTACTTTTTTGCTGGTAGGCTTTATAATTAACTGGTTGAATTCAGGTCAAAAAAACCCAACCCCAAACAGCTGAACTTAAAGTTGGGAGGTTCAGAACTGTGAGTGCTCATCATAGTTTGTCCTGCTAAAATCAGAAGACTGAATGCAACCTTGTAATTTGCTCACTTGTGTGCAGAAGAGTAATATCGTGAGATGTGTAAGGTAGACCACAGAAGACAAATTATTACACTGGGGAAATGCTGCATTGTGAGTAAAGGCAAATGGATAAAAGCCTGGGATATTGTGGCACTTTTTTTTCCACATGGGACACTTCTCTCTCCTTCCCTTCTGATTCTCAAAGATTGATGATATTGTTCCTCATGGCTATGAATGCTGTCATCGCCCCTGCTTGTGAACAGAGCAAAAGGTGTTCATCACAAGGTCAGGGCCAAAATTTGAGGGGCTGTAAAAATTATTTTTTGATAGAAAGGGTAGGAAAAAATGCAACTATGAGATGACATACTACAGAAACGAGGAGGAGACAGCGAAAAGGAGAAGAGGTGCCATTTGCAAACAGAAGTCTTTCCAGTACAAAGTGCAACTAACTACTATTTCACCTTTCAAGCCCTTGCTTATAAGCACAAAGCTAAAAATACTTTTGGAAACATACAGCTGGCCCAGTCCTTGGGAAATCAGAATTTAATTATCTGATTTAATTCTTTATCTCTGAAATTTGAATCAGATTAGAATTAACTTCAAACAAGAAAGTACAAGTACTGTCCTATCTAGCCTGCCTAAGCTGCCAGCAAGGAGAAGAATAGTTTAGATAAAGTCAAGCCAATTTTGACAAAATACAAAATTAGAAAATATTTTTGAGGGAGTCCATGTAAAGTGCTTGGATTTTATGTTCTGTAATTAAAATCAAAAGAGAAAGAAAAAAAAAAGAAAACTCTTCCTACATGCGGTGAATAAGGAAGTATAAACACAAAGCTTCTCTTCACAATAGGTTGTTTTTGTCCTCTGTTAAGTAAGCACCAAAGGGTGGTGAGATCATTTCTGTGCGTGGCTGGTGGAATGTGGTTGAATTACTACCAGCAGTTTTTATCTTTCTAAACTTCCTTGCCAATGTGAGCTGTTCTGCTTTTGCCTTTTCTACACAGTATGGGTCTGTCCATTTTATCACTGTTAAATGTAGTTGTTACTACATTAAACACTTGTCATATAAATTAAAATGATGCAAAGACCAGAGCGATCTTCTGTGATGTGGAAAAGCCAACAGAAGTCAAGGAAACACATTGCACCAGTACATTTGAAAATGAAATTGCTTTTGTGGTGACGATCTGTTAATTGTTGCCTCTGGTCTTCTGAG